ATATCCCAGGGTGTGCAAAACAGTCCAGCAGCTGCCATTGCTCCAAACCCTTGCCCCGATGTTTCCCATTGGGCATACAGAGGATTTCAACTTAACATCCCTCGAGGCATCCTCTCAGCTCCCAGAGGTGACAGATTTCAATTCCTGCTGTTAAAAGCACCCAGGAAGTGAAACACTCTTCCCTGGCATGCAGACATCAAAGGAAATACCAAATCCACCCCAAAAAGAATTTTTTTCTGCGGCTTTCCACTTCCATAAGAAAACAAGTATAGAGAAAACATGCCCCAAGGTTTATTTCCAGGACCCTCACCCATCAAATACCTTGGCTGACATGTCAAAACCAGATGTGAGGCTGAGACAAAGCCCTCAGAAGCAGAAGAAAAGTTCAACTGCCAAACTGATTTCCTCCAAGTGTTTCACATTCATCTCTTCAGCTTGCATTTGCACATATTTTAGGCATAAATAGGTAGGCAGAATCAAAGATAACCATGAAAGAAAAAGACCTATAAGTGTTTAACTGTGATGACTGAAGAGTTGAGGGAAACTGAATTTCCCCTTACTGTTTGTGTTATCTTTATAGACCCAACATATTTGCAGACAATTAGTGATACCCCAGTATAATCAACCACAGAACTCCAGAACACAGCCTAGCACAACAATCCACTGGAAAGCAGCTTTGCTTGCTCATACACTGCTTTCACTTTGCTTGCCCATATAGTGCTTTTACATTTTGAGCAGGAATGATCCATTTGTGGCTGTATTCTCTCTCGCCTGTACAGCAGTAGCTGATGGCAGCTTTAGCACTCACCCATCAGGAAAGGTAACCCTACCAAGCAAGATTAAGTGTATAATGTAATCTCCCAGGTCAAATGCTATAGAGATTGGCAAAGATCTTTTTGTTCTTTTCTCTATGCACATAGCACTGCACTGTCCGCATTTACTCAACCCTTACGCATGATTCCCATGCACCTCAAGTATGCTGGTTTATTTTCAAAGGTTGTTACCTAACTGGGTAGCAAGAATAAGACAGATTTAACAGCTGTGCACGTGGCATTTCAGACAGGCTGAAAAGGTTTTACTCAGTCTGCTGTAGAGCTATGCTCAGGGCTCCTGGATTATGGAGGGAGTTAGAGAGATTAATCAGGAAAAAGAAATAAAAATACAGCCACTCCTTGTATTTCATAGAATCATAGATGCTTAAGGTTGGAAGGGACCTCAGAGGTCATCTAGTCCAACCCACCTATTTGGAGGTGATGGGAGACTTCCAGGATGAGACAATTGATTTCTGTTCCTAGTGTGGCTTTTTGATATTTTAAATACTGAAGAGAAATCATTGATAACACTGTATTGAGAAAATCTAGAACATAATGCAAACTAATCTTCAAGTGAATTTCCAGATGAGTTGAGTTACTGAAGGTTTTATGAAACATTTATTCCCCCTCAAAGAATAGATATCACTACCCAGATGTAGTGCAAAAATAAAAATTGGCAAAAGCAACAACCAACACAACTGAGCTAGTCCTGTGCTAGAAGCAGGTCTACTTGGCTGAATCCCAAGCAGGGTGAGATCTGCTCTGGAGCTGGAGAACCAGCACAGATGCAGGCATCTCATTTTCTGCCTCGCCTCTGCAAAGTTTTCCGTTTTTTGGCATGAAGCTAATCTTGGCATAAATATATTTACCAAGTGTGTATTTTTTGTCCTTCTTGTCTCCCTTCTAGCTGTCCTTTCCAGAGAAAATTCATCTTGCTAGAGCGGTAGCTGAACAGGGACCTGTTAGTCCTTCTCTTCATAACAGAGACACATTTGCCACTATTTCCAGTTTTACTCTTCAGCTATTCTAGAGTTGTGCAACACAGTTTTCCCTCCTCCCATTCAAAAAAATAAAAAAAATTCAAAGCTCAATTCTTTCCTCAAGAACCATCTTTGAAAACAAATCAGCAGAGCCTTCTCTTCTGCTTCTACAAAAACATCTTTCATATCTCAAGTCAGTAACTGAGAGCTGCTAATTCCAAGGAGATGAAAACAGCTGATGCACAAGAGCTGCCTGGATGTGGATCCAGCTCTTCTCTGAGGAATTATACCTATTGTGGAGGTTCTTTTTAATACATGAAGACTTGGAGTTCACATTTGTACTACCTAATCCGCTTTATGACCTACACAACCTGCAGGAAAGTCCCTTTTGGTGACATTTCGGATTGTCAAGGGCTCATTCAATATCAGAACTAGAATCCACTAATTTCCAGGGCATGATAATTTTGCTTTTAGTGACAGATCATTTTCATAAAACACTTGTTCAACTGCACAAGAGTGGGAATAACACCCTTTCTGCTGTTTGATTTCCAAACAATATCAATTTCTACCTATATTCTTTGGTATTTTCCTGAGTCCTCTATGCGTCACAAGAACACCTATATCACAAAACTCATTACTTGTGATTTCAAGAGAGCCAAGGTCCTGCCATGGCTGCCAGGCATCCTGGTCTAAAAGGCTATGAAACATTTGAAATAAATGAAGCCCTGTGTCCTCCTTCCTAATTGAAAGTCTCTTCAGGCTCACTGTGTGCTTTCCTGGGCTTCATTTGCTGTATAGCAGATGGCACATGCATCATAAAACCTCATTATTTTATCATCATAAAGTCCATATCTTGTGAGAAGTGACATCTCTCTCCAGATTAAAGCAGGTTCTAAAATAAAATGCCCAACAGGCATTCAGAATAGAGAAGCAGAGCTACAGCTAGGCAGCTAATCACAGCTCTTGTTATGACACGAGTATCACATGTTTTGGTCACATATGATCCCTTGGAAAATACCACACAGCTTCTTCTTCTCTGGAAAGGAAATAAGTGCTTTCTTTGTGGTTCAGTTAGGTGCTTCTAACTCGTCCTTCTCCACTTCTTCAGAATGGCAGCAGCCTGACCTGAGGACCTTGCTCTCCCAGCAGGTTTCAAGGAAGCTGTGAAGAAGTCTCTAAAGCCAAGATGAACACAAGATATTCTTCCCCAGAGCTCAGAAGAAGCCTTTCCTGACACATCAAGAGGAGTTGAAAAAACCTGAACCACCACTTTATAGCAGTATGTGCTAATAGCTTAGACCAGCCTTGACTTCTCCTACGCACAAAGAAGCCAACATGAAATGTCCCACTGATTTATCAGCACTGCAATCCCTAAAGCTTAAACTTTCTGCTTAGTCTGCACTTCTGTGGCTGCTAGGTTTCTGCCCGAGGACACCTTGATAGGGGAGGACATTGATTACAAAGCTAAGGACTTGCACTTGGACAATAAATTAAAGACCAAACTTCAAGGCAGAGAAGTTTCTCACAACTCATTGGTAAAATTAAGAGCTACAAACAGCAACAACCTCTTGTGCCACCTCACCAGCTTCCCTACCTTCCCATATCTGAGTGAGCTTTAATGGTCTGGCTGTACATACCAAATCCAGCCAACATCTCCTCTGTCATCTCCCATGGCAATGCAGTTTTTGCATTTATTATTGAACCAAATGTAAAATGTTAGTATCTTAAAGATTTAGTTGACTCAGATAATGTTTTATGCTTCACCATCAATCCCTAAGATGGAATGAAGGATGTTCACCTGCATCCTGCCTCCAGTAGCAATATCCACACGCTATAAAGCGGTACAAATATCCTCTGATTTTCCATTGCTGGCAATAATTGCGCTCAGTCAATCTTACATTCACTTAGAGTCCAGAGAGGGAGTAATTTCCTAGAAGTGGCTTTAAACTGTAAAGAGTCAAGGAATTCTTCTCCCCCAGCATGACAGTGAAGTAGTTGTCTCTTCCCAGCTTCCAAACATCTCTATTAGCTTGGGGAATTAATTGTTAAAAATAATCAGGAGTGCAAGACAGGCCTCTGAGCAGACCTTTCACTGTAGATACTCTTTGCTCTCCTAGGGTTTCTTGTGGTGACAAAGACAGCGATCAGGAGGTAACTGCAGTATGACAGCACATTATTCACACATAGCAGGGATCCTTTGGACTACAGCTGCCAAAAATGGAAAGGCATGAAACTTCCAGCTCTCCCTCCCCTGAAAGGCCTTTAGCTATTTGTACCATTCCTACATTTTTTTTTCTCTTGGATTGTGAGGAGGGAAAGGGGAGTATAGAAATATAACACAGGCCAAAGGCAGCCATTCCTTTTCCTTCCTCTAGGATTGCTGAACCTTGAAGCTTTTAATCACTGCCCTCAGACTCATCCACCTTGTGTTTTGCTTCTATTTTTGTACTACTGAATAAGCTTAGGAAAAGAAAAACTTTGTTTCTAAGATTTCTTTTGTCAGAGGAGAATTCTCCCACCAGAAAAATTCAGAGGCTGAAATTTCAGAGAAAACAGCCCCTCAAGTAAGGGCAGAGCTAAAACCAGAGGCAGGTGAGGAACACACAGGGCTAGACCATGGTTACCAGAAGAGTTAAATCACAAGATGTTTTTCTATAGATCTTTATTGCAAATGTCTACAAATGCTCCTCTTGTAACCATACAGGGTGACAAGGAAAAGGCCGCCCTCAAGCACAACAGTGTAATGGGAAGTAAAATTCAAATATCTACAGTTATTTCAAGAAATAGAGCCTGGTTAAGGGCACAAGGGGCCTCCATTCTTTTTTATTTTTAGTAAAAAAGGCCCTGCATGCAAAGCAATTGCTCACAGCCAGTTCATCTGAGTCAAGGTGAGCTGCTAGATACAGTTAGTTTCTCCTGTAGAAGGGGAAAGGGCAACTGTTTGACATTAAGAGTTTAGGGTTCTGTTTGTTTTGGTTTATATTTGTGACCCAAAGGCCACTTACTGCACAGAATGAACCTCTAGCATGGCACAGCAAGATAGTGCTGAGATGCCACATAGCTTGCGAGGGAAGAAGATGTACACGAGACCAGACAGCACACAGGGCATAACTTCATTGCAAAAAGGCAGACAGGAACACAAGTGACACGCACAAATGATGGCCATGCTTGGTGATCTTCACACAGTAAGTGCAATCACAGCTGAAGGAGAACTTTCCATCTCCGACTCTTCAGGCCTGCGCTCGTCAGAAAGAGCAGACAAACCTTCTGCATGGAAATACACATGGCATCAGGAAGTAACTCTTGCCTATAGCTTCAGTCCTGCAAATACAGCTGCAAATAAGTAATCCTGGTTTTAAGGGTGCTTCTGAAGGTAGGACAGCAACATGCTCAAATGTGTTCAGAGCACATGTGCAAGTGCAGTCTCTATTTCTGGGTATCTTTATCAAGACTAAAATACTGTTTCTCCTAAGTGGGAGTTTTCCATTTTTGCTAGAGAGGAATCCCAGGAAATACAGACTGAACATAATATTTAAGTATCATAGCAGAGACATATGGGGAGAGAGAGTGTTACTTTAGATGCTGCTTTTTTAACTAGACAAATACAGCAGCTGTTTTAAAACAGTCCATTGGTTCTAAATACTGAAAATAGTTTTTCCTGAAGCTGGAGCACTCAGGGGGCATTTTCTACTTCTTCCTTCAGCATGCATCACCCACTTATTTCTATGGATAGAAATAATAAAACATGTAATATTCAAAATTAGCAGTAAAACAGTTCCTGTGCTTCTAAAGCCAAAGTTAAGTCCCAGGGGCAGGTTTTGAATTAGTCAAGAAACAAGAGAATTTAGCCCTTTGAGACTGTACGTTGGACATGTAGGCTTTTATTTAGAAACAGGACAGCACAGAAATGTCGGTATGACAGATGGTAGTCATTACCACCTCACATGCTTCTGGAAGGCACTTTGCACATGGTACATGAATATAAATGGAATGGGCTAAGTACAGGAAAGACACAACAACTACCAGTAGTTTGAACAGTGAATTATCCATGCCATGTTAGTGATAAAGGCTGCAAAGACAACTCAAAGCAGCTTGAAATAAAGGACCCATTCCTACTTACTGAAGTGGGCAGAAGAGATTCACTATTTCTGCTAACTTGATAAGTGCAGGCAAAAAATTTCCAATGAGAATTAAAGGCCAAAGTGGAGATGAGTACATCAGCTTATTCAGGTGCATGGCTGCTTTAATAGATACCATAAAATATATATTAAGACATTTGTAATAAAGCCCCTGTTGCGGCACAAAGCAGGTGTCAGAGCACATGCAGCCCTCAGCAGGCAAAGGGACTACAAGAACAGGGACACACGCGCACCCCAGGTTAGACCTGTGTCTAATAACCACGATCTTTGGGGCCAAGGGCTGGCTTGCTCTCACATGGGGATTGCTTAGCACTGTGCCCAGCTCTGCGGCTCACAAGTCTCTTCCCCTGCTTCAGGGCCACCTCATCTGCTCACGAAACAGCAGCTGAAGCGTCAGAAAGCACCACACAGAGGGAAAACAAAATCATGTCCAATTCACCTGAGTGCAGGCTGTAAACTAATGCAGTTCAGGGGCACACACAATCTCATCTGAAAGGAGAGAGAAGCTGGGGATGGGAACTGCTAGAGCCAACCCAAAGAAAGGTGTCCCCAGTAGTTAACTGGAGCCCAGAAAGAATCAGCTCGCTGGTCTTAATAGGCCAAGATTCAGGAGAAACAGAATTAAGCAGAAATTCCCTTTCGTCCCCTTAAGTAAAAGCCACAAACAATGTGATTATGAAGCATTATTATTATTCAAATACATGAGTTTGGTTATACATTGGATACTGTGGACATCCTAGCAGTTACACGGGATTTAAATGCTATAAGCCACTCCAAATTGTTTTATGCCCTACATCCTTTAAAGCTAAGAAAACAGAGAAAAAAAATCCTACAGTTGGTGAGAGCTGGTGTTCCACAGGGCATGGACATCCATATGGTTCTTCACATGAGTGTGAAACCTCCACCCTTCAAGGTGGCTTTCAGTTGCAAAGCTTCCTTGAGATATTCCCACTCGGCCTCTCACTTGTGCCCCACACCACAACACAGCACCTGCCTCTCTTTGAGCAGCCACACTATGATCAAGGTCAATAAAGTGTTCATGAAAGCAGCCAGAGCATCATTGCCACTACTGACCTTGCTCAGCATATACACCAAGCACTCTCCGCTTTTAGGAAAATGAGATAGTCAAGCCAATCAGCATGATCAGGCAACTCAATTCCAGTGCTTTTTAAGTAGTGAATAGTCCTCAAGTAGATGCAATTTGCCACCTGAAATCAATCTTGAAGCCCTAGTCCAATTCAAACCAGGGGCAAATTGCCTTTGACTTCAGGGCTAAGAGTTCACCCTTACTTCACAAACATTTTTTGATACCTCAAAAGTTGCCCTGCATGGACAACTCAGTTAAAAAAAACAAGACCATGTCTGAGTTTTCATCTCAGGCATGGAATAAGAAGGGGTGTTCTGAAAATTCCAATTTCAACACTAAGAAAATGCATGAATTAAAGAATAGAAAATTCCTTTTCTTAGGTGCATTGCTGTAATATTGTTTGAGGCTCTTTCTTTCCTAAAGACATATTCGAAAGAAAAAATGTCAGGTTCACATCAGAAGCTTTGATTTAGACAAAACAGTCTGTCCAAAAAAATCCTAATGCAATCTCTATGGAAATCGGCAGCTTCAGAAAAAATACCTGGATCACCATAGGAGATAACTTCTAAAATCATCCTTTTAAAGTCACTGAAGGCCACATTAAGTCATCCATTATAAGGCTTCTTTGTACGTTCTTAGGGTCTAGACCTTTTAAGGAACCTTCATTTAGCCAGGTCCTATCTTTCATATCCTTATTAAGTGCTATATTTATTCAGTTACTGCTTTAAGTGCATCTCTCCCACCCCCTTCTCCATTTTAGAAGCAAGTTGTCACCTGCTGAGCATCTGAGAGGTCTGAATGACTGATTACCCACCATAGCATGGACCTCTGTTTCCCCAACATGACCAAGTGCTCATTTGCAGGAGATAAATAAACTTGAGCACTGATTTTAATCCAACATATTTAAAAAAAAAAAAAAAAAAAAAGTCTTGCAAGGCACTTCTTACAACCCTTAGCTTAAGAGTTTGGGTTCTTTTTATTCACTGCTAGAAGAACATCCATCTTGAGAAAACCAAAGCCACATAGTAGGTGCAGCTGAGAAGATACTGCACAGGCAGTAAGCAACTCACTGCATTGTAAAAATGAGTTAGAATACCGCATTTAAGCAAAATGTTTGGTAAAATGGAAGATAAATTGGATATCCAAACATAATGGCAAATTACTATATGTGGAAGGAAAGAACTGAAATCCAAAGGCAACAGATCCAAATGATCCTCTGCCAAACATTTTCACTAGGTTTGCTTTTAAGGATGCTGAACTGCATGCAGTTGAAAATAACTTTAAGATGTTTGATCAACCATTCACATGGACACAGCTGCTGCAGATAAAGGGCATTGAACATAATGAGGAGGGAGGAGAGAAATGAGTAGGAGCCAAGAAAAAGAGACAACATTGTGCCTAGGATTTCCAGCTCCGTGTTTATTTACATTATGTTAGACAATGACCAGATGTCTGCAACCGACACTTTGTTGACTGTAAATGCTCTGCTTGTGCAAGAGTAGTATGTACCGTGTCAGCTGCACAACTCACTTCAGCAACTGAAAGTACTTTTCTGGATGAAGAGCATCTCACTAGGCTGCTTACAGCATTTAATAGTATGCTCTGTAAAACTATCCCATTAGCTGAAAGGGGTAGTGATAAGCCACAGGTCCTCCTGGCTTGTTTGAAACCCACCAGAACCCATACTAGGTGTCCTTGATAAGTCAGATACAACAGAAGTTGCCTCAGTAGCCTTCCTCTCTAATTACTGATTCATAGAGAGACAGATGCCCATTTCAGTGGGAGTAAACAACCTGAAAAGCGGCATGCCAGAGCCTCAAAACCTCCCCAGAAGATCCCACCTTTAACTCATTCCATGCCATGAATCTCCCTGTACTTTCATCAGGCTGAGACATTAGCAGGGGGGTTGTTAACACACAGCCCATCTTCAGCTAAGGAATCAGTCCAGAAAAGAGCCTAAAAGACAACATGAAGTCTATTGCAAATCTGTGAGGCTCTAGTCACTCCCCGAGTACCCACCTTGCACCAACACCTCCATTAGTAAGAGCATGGAAGAGCTAGAGCTGGAGTGCTGTAACACTTTAAACAGCTTTACTTTAAGTACCAGTACTTTTGGTACTTTAAACAGCTGGATGTTCAATCTTCACCTCCCACTGGTCTGCAGAAAGATCAGGGAACCTTAAAATTATGCCAGGTATCTGGACATGGCGGGGATTGGTGTGCCACCTCAATACTTGAGCTTCAGATTTTTCAAGGAAGGGAGAAGTAGGGCACAGGAGGGAGAGATGGATATCAAAAGGAGAGCTGATGAAGGGGAATCATAGTAGCACTCAATTGTAGTTTGGGGACATTCAGAACCTAGGCACTTTGTTCAGTCTCATCTCCAATTCACATTTGATTTTAAAAGTACTCAGGTTAAGGCTCTCTCCAGAACAGAGACTGCCTCTGTTAATTTATTTTAGTCCTTTGTGCCCAATTATTTAGGACATTTAGCAGGTGCTATTTCTTCCACAAAGCCCTAGGACTTTTCGTGTAGTAGATGGATGGTGCTTAAGAGGTGAGCAGACATCCAGAATCTCATTTTTCTACATTTCAGTAATGGGCCAGGATTTGTTTATTGCATGCAGTGTGGAGGACTGAATGAATAATTTTTTCTGAGGAGCTCTTCCAAGTGCTCAGCAGACAAATTTCTCTTCACAAAACCACTATAAAAGGGAACGCTATTGGCAGGCTTAAAATTGGGAGCTATCAGACAAATTAGAAAGTAATACTGAAGGCTTAGTCTGAGACTCACAGCACTCTTCCAATAATGGACATCTGAAAAAGTTTCCATAGACTTCTATAACAGGGTTTACTATTGGCCTACCCTTTTCCTCCTCACATGATCTTCTGTTATCATCTCTTTTTCCTCTTAAGAGCACCTTCCCTGTCCTAATTTTGCCCTTCTACACTTCACCTAGCCACCACACTCTTCCTTGTTGCCCCTCTCAGACCCACGAGAACTTCCCTGCCCTCAGGCACAAGTTCTTCATAAGAGCACTAAAGACCAGCACATACTAGTGTCCCATCAACCAGTTTTGATCATGCACCTGCTTCTTCTGACAAGACTCTCACTTCTCTCTGTTTCTCCAGTGCATTTACTAGATGCTTATTTTAAGCATCTTCTGCCCCAGTGGCCAGCTGGGCTCCTCAGCACCCAGATTATGGCTTTCTTCCCTGTAATGACTACCAAGGATCAGGTGTGGGGAAGATCAATCAGGTCAATCAATAGGCCACATATTAGTCAAAAAACTGATCTCACTCTCCTTTTTTCCCCCTTCAAAATAGGGATAGGAGGTTGTCCAGGACAAGTTTATTTCACAAGCCCTCCTTTTTACCTCACAGGAATCACAACTATAACTGCACAGAAAGAAACTGAGAATTTACAACACACTCCATGATACATTTTTGCTTGCACCACCTGAGGTCCTCAGCCTCACCAACATTCACCAACCACTGCAAACTATCAAGGGGCTACTGAAGCACTAAAAGCACAAAGCATCTGTTGGGCTTCCCAGTATCAGCATATAGTTCAATACAAGCAGTCATCAGCATAGCCATGCCTTTCCAAGTGCAAGGGAGCAAAAATGCCAGTCTTACCTAAAGAAGAGCAGTCCAAGGACCAAGAGCAGCTGGAGCACAGGCCAGGTCCTCAGTGATGTGGTGCAGTCTCACAGGGTCTGAGTGCTATGGGCAGAGCTGGGTGCCAGGAACACGGCCCTTTAGGAGTCCGAACAACACAGCAAACCACATACAGGGTCACATAGTCCACCTACAACCTACAGCTGTAGACCCTCTTCAAGAGGGCAGCTCTCCACAGCAACAACCCAAAGCACACCAGGAAAAGAAGCTGGGGACAGGCTGAGTTATATAGAGCCCCAGGACCGATGGGTAAAGTGTCCAATTCTGCTCCAGGTGAGGCTGGTCAGGGTTGTCAAGGCCTGTGAGTGCCCTGTAGTAACAGTGCCCTATTGCTATGAAAGCCACATACTCCAAGTCACTCAAATTTGAGACCAAGAGGCTAAAAATTCTACCTACAGTCCTATTTCCCTCTTAGGAGCTTTGTAATGTAAATTATGTGTGTGACAGGAGCCAGAAGTTTTTGTTGTAATTCTGGTGTGGCTGGGCATCAGGGCCCTGAAGTTATTAGCTTGCTGAGTGGCCCAGGCTTTCCCCAGCTGGCTTCTCCCAAGATGAGGCAAAGGACTGCCTTGGGGTGACGTGATGGACTGCATTCCTGGTTGACTTTCAGGCCAAGTATATGGCTAATTCCTCCTGGAAGTCTCTGGGTGGGAACAAACTTGTGGGTGGTGAGCAGGAACTGTTTCCCCAGATACAGAAATAGGCCAGTATTAGGGTATACCTAGATATTTAGGTCATGTTTTGTAAATGCTTTAAGATAACTAATAGTATTTATGCCCTGGAGACAGGACCATGGGAGAGCTGGATACAAGACTTCAGCAGAAGAGACATTTGAGAGTCTACCCCAACCCAGCTGAAGACATCGTCATGGGGACCCTGCTCCTGGGATCTCCACAGGCACTCCGCAGTGGCGCAAGAGATCCGATTCTCTATTTGAGCACTGCAATGCACAAAAGATCACAATTTTTGAACATAAACACTCAGATGAAGGAAAGTACAGACAGTGCTTGTCTGATACTTACAGATGATCAGCACTCGCCAAAGTGATATTGTAATGTCCCAACTCAATGCAAACAACTGATGCCACCAATGCAATCTGGCCTAATACCAGAATTTTTAGATGCACCATGACCATACCTCAAGAACATCTAACAGATGTCAGGATGCATGTTCCTAGTGTCTAATTTATGCTTGATTTGGGGTTACCTTTACATATACCTAGTTTGGTTCCTTTGCAGTGAAAGACAGTACTAAGTTTGAGAAGACAATGCGTAAGGAGCAGATCTCATGACAGTCTCCATGAATTCACAGAAGCCAAAACCTTTAAAGCTCTAGAAATGGGGCAGGTAAACTGAGAAAGTCTGTTACTGGGCATGTGCAAAGTATAAGTGCTTAGGGATGTATTATTCATCCAATTTGGATGCTGTTTGGAAAGATAAAATAAGTCACACCTGTGTAGTCATACTTGCAGTCATCTGTTTCGATTGTTCTGTGCTCCTTCCTGTTCCTCTCCTTCCTCAATACACAAATCTAGTCCAGGCTGATGTATCATAGACATTTTTGGGCCAAATAGTCCCAAATTTCTTTTCTTTTTCTTTTTAAGCAAATGTAAGCAGTAAGTTAATGGTACATAATGTACATAAATGAGCTCTCCTATACTCTGGTTTCTTTTGTTTGGTTTCCTTTCATGCATCACACATACCTTTTGTTTTCTTTAAGCACTCCATAGACACACAATCTCAGAATTCAGAGAGAGGAGAAAGAAACTGAGCTACCATGCTATTTTCTCTTGACTTCTCATTTTGTACCCTTCTGGTAACTTGGACAGCTTTATTCTGTCTGAGATTAGACGTGCACTGGGTTAATGAAAAGAGCACTCGCTGGTTCTGCTGCAACCAATTTCATTCCCACACTCTTACGTAAAAGAATGAAATATGTTTGAGCCTTGATCTTTTTTATGCTAATAATCAAGAGCAATCCAGTCGTTCTTTTCTCTAGATTCCCATGGTTTTGTATATATAACCTGCTACCAACTCTTCATAGCCTTGTAATTATCTATCTTGGTACTAACAGTACACTAAGGACCACAACATCCGAAAACCTTAGGCATTTTAAATGGTTATCGTCTTCAATCTGTATCTTATAATGGTGTAAAAAGTCTGAAGAAACTACTCTTTTCCTGGCATTTAATTTCCTGCTGCACAAATACCTATATTTCTTGTGACTTTTCTGTTATAATTTTTAGTTTCTGTTTGGTTATGAGGTTATTCTTCATGAGGCTTAGGGCCCCTCAAATTGATAGTGTTCTCTGGGACAAATGCCGGCATATATTTCTGCCCTTTGATTTCAAAAGGCTCTGTCAAGACACTCAATTAAGAGCTGAAAAAAAAATGGTTTTGTTCCCCAAAGGAGCAAAGAGTGGTAATGCAAGAGAAGTCTAGGAAAAAAAAAAAAAAGTGTTTATGTGTGCTATAAAAACCTAGATCTATTTTTTTTTTCTAATTTTGAATTAGAAAATTTTGATAAGTAGTCCTGGCCCTTTGCCCTTTCAGAGATGCTGGCAAATCAATGAAAGGAGACACTTCATTTCACAGCTGAACTCCAACAAGAGACAACATGTCTACCATACATTATTAATTTCCTTCTAATGAAGTATATGTCATTATTTATAGCACCACATCACTTAAGACGCAACCGTGAGCAAAGCTTCTGCTTTAGATCACTTCTGCTATGACTTTTGCAATTTGCAAAGCAATTCAACCAAAATTATTTTTTCAGCTGACCCAAATGATTTTTCAAGGACGTAGGAGTGCCCTTATAAATCGTATTAACATCAATAAAAGAAATTAATCCAGAAAGACAGCATGATTCAAGTACAGATCTACCTGGCCGATGGACCATAAGCCATTAAAATAAATAATAGAGCATTAGTGTTCCAGATTACATATAGATTGACTTGGCTTGTGCTTTTAAGTGTAATTAAAAAATGTCAGGAAATTGCTACTTCATGTCTATTGTGATACACCTATTACCACTTCATTCCCCCAGGGCACAGTGCAGAGTCACCTATTTTCTGTTCTGCGTGTCTAAAGAGGCACAGAAAGGCAGGATAAAGGGAAAACAAGACAGCACCTAATTTCCCCAGCCTCCTCAGCAGGAGGAGGTCAGCTCCCGCACACCTTAGGAGGAAAAGCAAAGCTCTGACAAATGCATGAAGTCCTGCCAAAGGGCAGCCTCCTGGATCCACATCCCATTCAAAGAGCATCCGTGTGCAGCCTGCAGACTATCTTCCGAAGCCGGGAATGACACAGCAGGCACCAAACTAACCTGTCAACATATTAGCAGTATTAGCAGTGTGCTTTGAGGCTCGCTGTCAGTATGGACACTAGGGGAGCATTAAAAGATGTTGACAGCTTTCTTCTCCTGGGAAGGGACATGATATTTTCAGCACGTGGCACCGTTTTATTACGCCCATCTCTTAAATAATCTTGAAATACTTTTGTCATTTCTGTAAGAGATTCATGCCTTGGGAGCATAATCCTGTTAAAAACAGAAGGGTGGCTCTGGCACATGGGCTGCAGACAAGACAGATGAAGAGCACAGATAGTTCGGGAAATAAAAATGATACAGAACTTTCTTCACATCAAATGTCTCAGATCTTCTGCTGTTACACAAATAAACACACAAAAAATCGTAATGACATGAAATATGCATGCAGGTCTCCTTAAAAGAGATCTCTTTTTAATCTCTTAAAAGAGATTAAAAGATACCTGCCCAATTTCTTGGAGTCCCATGGAAGGCAACGCCCAGACCTGTAAAAAAGTCAAATGAGAAAAAAAACAGAAAGGGTTTCTTCCCCAGCAGGGTTAGGGTTATAAGGCAAATCCCAAACATACAATTAGATACCTGGTCCTAAATCAGGTTCCTAAGATTGACTGCAAAATAAATACTAAATAATTACTTAAATATTTACCTGCTGTTTCTGACCTCTGTTGCCAATTTCCACAGATAAATTAATGAGCAAGGAAAGGCCAAATCTCCATTATTTAATTTCCTTGTTTTCTATCTTCTATATAACTATTGTCATTAAAAAAAAAAGACCTAGTGCCCTCCCTCTGCCAACTTACAGAACAAAATAGAGCAGCTCTTATTGAGCAAGAGAAGCAGTTTTGATTTTATTCGGGAGAATCAGCAAATAGCCTACAAGGCCTAAATTACAGTTAATGATCCATATGCATTAGCCTAGCATTAGGCTAAAATCCAATATTTATATTTTTATGAGCTTACAGAATTGATCTGGATGGAATCAGAGTGGCTGGAAATGAACTGGAATATAAACAGATGATATTCTTGGGAAATTGCACCATTTGTAGGCATTTTTGAAGAAATACTGATTAAAGCTGCCATTCTCCTGGCTGAGGAGGGGAAGATTATTTTCCTGGTTTTCTCCTAATATACTTCTAAAGTTTATACTGTCCTTCTCCTGTGTTAGGGAATGTGCCATCCCATAGTAAACAACTGCAAATTGCTGGCTTGGTCATATCCAAAAGCTACTGCCAATCCTCACGTGCATTCTAGATTTGTAACTAAGCTCTATATTGGCCAATACAGAGGAATTTTCATCAGTTCTCACTAGCATAGCACAGAGGGATGCACGAGCTGAATTCATTTCTAACTTCCCTTCTACTGATAGTTGTATCTGATCTCATGACCTAGAACTAACTAGTAATAGTGATACCTAGCCTTTCTATAGTATTTTTGTCCTCCAAAGTCCAAGCATTAACAAATACACATAGAATGTACATATATATAGTAAGATGAAACTATTTAACCAATGTCAGGCCAGGAAATGGATGATAACTTTGTGATGTGTAGGCTCAAAGACAGCAGCAGCGGTGGTGGGAAACACAACAAGGGCCATCCAACCCCTCAAAGAGTTTCTAGGCATGGTGTTGAGATAATATTTTGCAAACAAAGCAGGGAAAGGAAGAATTCTTCTAAGATGTGCTTTCGATCGTTGACTGGATTAACACTTAACCTCTCTCCTCCCCCTCAGGAAATTTTCCTCACTTATTTTAGATATAAGTGAAAGCTTTCATCTGAAACCACTTGAGAGCATAACCAGAGTGAATGAGAATCTTGACTCCCCAAAAGTCTAATCCGGTTTAGGAGCAATTATAAATA